TTTCTGAAACAGTCTGTTAGCTCTGGGCTTATTTTTAAACAGCTCTTTGTCCATTAACTGATTACTTCCCTCATACATAGTTCTTGGGTGGGCCAGTTGATGCCCAATAATTGTTCCATTCTCACTACTAATGCACAATCTGGTGTAGCAGGGAGGAAAGCTTGGATGTGGTTAGGGACAAATAGTCCTCTATTCAATTTGAAGCATGCCTCTGAACCTTATGAACTTGAACATGTTATCAAAATAAGTATTTCAGGTGATGTGGCTCATAGACTACCTGACCCAAAAGCTCTTAGGTGTTTGTTTAAAATGTGCATTCCTGGGGCGCCTGGGTGGCTCAGTTGGTTAAGCGACTGCCTTCGGCTCAGGTCATGATCCTGGAGTCCCGGGATCGAGTTCCGCATCAGGCTCTCTGCTCAGCAGGGAGTCTGCTTCTCCCTCTGACCCTCCTCCCTCTCATGCTCTCTGTCTCTCATTCTCTCTCTCAAATAAATAAATAAAATCTTTAAAAAAATAAAATAAAATAAAATAAAATAAAATAAAATAAAATAAAATAAAATGTGCATTCCTAAACCTCATCCCTCAAGTACTAAACTAGGAACTGTGGGACTGGTCAAGTCATCTTCATTGTAACAAACTTCCCAGGAGATTCTTGTCCATGCTAATTGCCTCAACCTTATCTGTTCATCTGTAAAGTGGCAGATGACCAACCTTCTTCATAGGGTGGTTTTGGGAGTTTCAAATAATTATATATGCAAAGCACCTGGCACATAGAAGTAGCTCAGTAACATCACTTTCCTTCCTCTCCTCTTTTTCTCTTCTACCAAATAATGAGGAAAAATGGAGAAGAATACAGCATGCTATTTTAAAGTTTTTTGTTCTTTGCTAGGAATAGATGAAGCCACTATCCTGTTCTTAGAACTAAATAAATCTTAGTCATTTAAAACTCAAACTGAAAATTGTTCATGAAAAGCATTTAATTGATGTTATAGATCTGAACTTACCAGATGGCCACATAATTTTGAAATACCAGTAGGCAGCAATCCTCCACCATGTATACTCAGTTATCAATCTATTGCCTCTTGGCTCTAAATTCATACTTCATTACCTGCTCTGGGAAAATGGATATGGGCCCCTTAAATAGTATTCCTCTGCTAGATGGCATGATACTAAACTTTGTCAGCAGAGGGCACTGGAAAGACATTATAAGAAGAAAGGATTTTGCTTCCTGGTTTTGGTGTGCTTGCTTGCCAGACTCCTGCAATGTGCATGGCTATCCCAGCACCCAGCTCCTGTGGCATAATTGGCTTCACCAGTGCCCAGATCTTGTAATGTGGGCAGGTTGGCCAGGACCAGATTCTTGCAGCAATTATAGCTTCTCCAGTGTCTAGCTCCTGCAGTACACAGAAACCAGCAGCTTCCCCCAGCACTACCTTCAGGCTGAGATGCTCACTTCTATGTCTACCCATAGCAGGTTAATAGAAACCTGCTTTACCCTTCTACCTTAAGTAACTAAAAGATTGGACAAAATGTTCAAAACAATAGTCTTCAGTCATCAGATACACAGCATCCCAGGACAGCAATCTCTGAGAGAAGGGAGGCAAATAAGGTGATTGTTCACCTTGATAATTGGAATTTGCAAGCCACAGTGCAGCAGGGAAAGGGAACTCAGACAGACTCCAGTGGTATCTTTGAGATGAGGACTCAAGGTTAATATTTGGATAGGCCAGAGTTGCTAAACTTCTCAGGGTAGGGTACTAGAGGAAAGAGAACTGAACAGAGAGAACTTAGGAAATCTTCAAAAAATTCATCTTAAGTGCTTAACTAACCATTGATGTGTGCATGCATGGGAAGGAACTACCATACCAAGAGTGAAAACACTAAAAAAGGAGCAGATGGAACTATCCCCAGAGACAAAAATTGTTTGCTGAAGTAGAAAGACCTCTGGGTACAGAGAGTATTGAGTAGAGTCCTCAGCAGGTAATTGCCTCAGAAGTGCAGCAAAGTGTAAAGTCCATTCTGGACCTGTTGTCTTAGTCAGCTTGAACTGCTACAGCAAAATACCATAGAATCAGTGGCTTAACCAACAGACGTTTATTTCTCACAATTCTAGAGGCTGAAAAATCCAAGGCCAAGTTGCCAACTGTCAGTGGCTGGTGAGAATTCTCCTCCTGACTTGCTGATGTGGAAAGAGAGCAGTCCGGTATTTCTTCCTCTTCTTATAAGGACACTAATCCCATTTCGGGAGCCCCACCTGCATGACCTCATCTAAACCTACTTACCACCCAAACCCTCCACCTTGAAGTATTATCTCATCAGGGGAGTAAGACTTCCTACATGAATCTGGAGGGGACACAAACTTTCAGTCCATAACACATGCTTAGCAAAACTTAAAAGTAAACCTCTCAAGAATCAGGCAGTTTCCAAGTAAACGAACTGTACTCCAGAACAACAACAAAAGTACTTAAAAGAATAACTCCTTCTCACCCCCTCCCCCCGCCAAAAAAACAAGCACCAATAAACATGAAATTCAAAATTTCTAGCATCCAATACAAAGCATTAGGATTTCAAAGAAGCAAGAAAATATGGGCCATAATCAGAAGAAAAATCAATCAATAGAAACAGACCCAGAAATGACAAAGGTTATAGAAGAGCAGACAAGGACATTAAAATACCTGCTATAAATGTATTCCATATGTTCAAGGAGGCAAAGAAAACATGAGCATGATAAGGAGAAAAATTAAAGATATAAAAGATACTCTACCATAATGAACTTGAAATTTCCCATTCCAGTAGGTATAACTTCATCTTTTATACAATCGTTCCCTACTTGCATCCAGACCTTTCATCCAGAAAGTTCAGAGGCAAAAAGCACAAGGATGTTTCATAAAACTTACAAAGATCTAGTGTGGCCACTGTACAGGGACTCAGCAGTATACTCAACCAAATGGTCATTATCCTTATCCTGGATATCCTGGACAATAAGGATATCTTTATGGTCATTATCCTTATCATCTAGGATCATGGCAATCCCACTAGAGAACTCAGGTAGCTGAACCAGAAATAAATTGTATTCCCAGGCCCCTTTTGACTTGGTGTACCAACCAGTCCAGCCTGGAGTTGCTGTTAGGGGAAAGAAAGGATCACACCTAGGAATAGTAGAATGGAATCCCAAATATTCCTGTTGACTTAATTAACCTTTCCCTTTCATCCTGATCATTACTTAGGAAGCACCAAGAAATAGTTCCTTTCTGAGGCAGCTGCATTATGAGGTATGTGAATCAAGAGGACCTCTGCATAAGCGACTTAGATCTCTTGACCAGCAGCTGACATTGCTTTCCATAGTCCATGAGGGGTGTCTTTAATCTGACAGTCTGTCATTTTCCAAGTAGCAGGCTAGATGCGTAGGTCACTGGCAATAGCCCAATAGCCAAGGTTCATCAGGGAACACATTGGCCAGAAATATGAGAACAACATGTACAATCCAGAAGTGCAGGAGATTAACCCTCATGAGGCTCACCTTGGACAAATGGGATATAGGAAGAGGTAGACAATTCCCTCTTCCCCTTCTAGACGGGTTGTCCAGCCATAATTATATGGCTTCTTAGAGGACAGCCACATGAGATGGAGCAACCGTCCACACAGAGCTGTGGCCAGCTCACTGGGATCTACTACTGACCCTCCCTTCTTTCTTGCTCCTGCCCCTGCAACCTCACTCTTGCTCTGTGAGATTGTTTACTCCTCAATAAAGTAGTAGCACAAAGAGGGAAACAAAGGCAAGGATGATAAGAACGAATTCCCATTAGGAATTTTGTATTCTGTATTATGTCATCCTAGAAAATTCACCAGTTTACAGCATGGTGACTAGTAGTATTAGAGAAGGTTATCGTGTTGCAATTTTTGTGATAAACTACTTGGGGGGGAATGGTAATTTAAAAGCAAAATCTAATCGAAAACATTCCTGTTTTCTCTTTGTTAACAGTGTTTTATATTGCTGGCTATAAGACACTATGATCCACTTGTTGTCCACATATCCTAATTGCAGGCAAGGTAGGTAGGAGGAAATAAACAGCCTCCTGAGCACTGGCCCTGCAAAACCAAACCTATAAAACAATGACAAATGTTACATTTTGTGACAGAGCAAGACAATAATTGGATTTAAAATAAACAAAACTAAAGAAAACTGACTAAAAAACATCTTTTTTTTTTTTTTACTTTGAATCAAACCTACAATTCATTAGCATACCATTTCCCTCTTCCCATCTGGAAACCAGAAATATTGATGATATATATCATGTAACAGCATTCCAAGAAAATCATTTAAGAACTATAAATTTGAATGTGTGCAAAAATTTATATTTTATTTGTGGTTTTTGTATGATTGGGGTGTTTTCCCCTTTTGGAGGAATTATGATTTAGAATAAATTTTTCCAGCACTGACTCTGAACTCAGCGCGTTCTGGGGTGTTTTAGAATTTATGTCCCACTCTGCATTTTTCAGCCCCACTATTTCTTTGTAAGGTATCCCAGTGGAAAGGAACCAGAAAACCATTTCTTTTTTTCTTCCCCAAGAATCTTAAAACTTGCATTAAAAAGATGAAAAGACCAACAATGGCTCCCAAGGGGAATCTGAGAAACAGAGAAGATTCATGGGGGCTTCTTAATGCACACGTTTCTCTCTATATAGTCACAACCCACATGAATGTCAGAACGCACAGGTGGGAGGATGCAGCAGGCTGAGCTTTGCTCACACTTTTATTTTATTTATTTATTTATTTATTTTTAAGAGGTGGGGAAGGGGCAGAGGAAGAGAGAGAGAGAATCTTAAGCAGGCTCTATGCCCAACACGGTGCCCAATGCGGGCCTCAATGTCACGACCCTGAGATCATGACTTAAGCCGAAATCCAGAGTCAGCTGCTTAACCAACTGAGCCACTCAGGCACCCCAACTTTGCTATCATTTTAAGGAGATAGCTAATGGTTTAGACACCATCCTCCTTACCTGGTGCAATGCCCATAGCCCAGTGGAACACACTCTCCATCTCTTCCTACTTCAACACCTTCCACTTCTGTTTGGAAGGACTTGAACTACATGAAGGCTATACAAAAGGTTTTCCACACACTAGCCATTTGACTTAACATCAGTGAAATGTGATCCAAGTCAACATAGGCTGAATGCCAGGGACAGGGCAGAAAATATTCCATCACTGTTTCCCGGGGGTGATATCCTACCTAAGAGGCTTGCCCTTGCAGGGAAAGTGATCAGCTTGGACATGTCATGCAATTGAACGCACCCTGCAGACACCCCAGTCAATAAATATTTGTTCTGCCTTAATCGAGCATGCGATGGTCTGAATGTTTGTGTGCCCCTAGAGAACACACGTTCATGTTCTAACTCCTAACGTGATGGTATTAGGAGGCAAGGTCTTTGGGAGGTGACTAGGTCCTGAGGGTGGAGCCCTCATGAACAGGATTAATGCTCTTGTCAAAAAGGCTCCAGAGAGATCCCTTGCCTTTCTGCCATGTAGGGATGTAATGAGAAGTCTGCAGCCCAGAAAAGGGCACTCACCCAACCCTGCTGGCACCGTGATCTCAGACTTTCAGCCTCCAGAACTGTGAGCAATAAATTTCTGTGTTTTTCAACCACCCCATCTGTGGCATTTTGTTGTAACAGTCCAAATGGGCTAAGAGTTTCTGTATAAAGGGCAGGGCAAAAGAAAGAGAAACACGTGGATCAGGGAGCATTCATAATCTAGAGAGGCAGATTGCTAACCAATCATACTTGCACTCTTGTGACCATGTAAATTCCTTGCTGGAGACCATGGGAGCAAGGAAAAGAGAAAGAAAAGCCAAAAAGGGAATGCTAGAGCTGGGAAGAGAGACAAAGGTAAGCAGGATGCCAAGTTAATCAGACTAGTCTAGGCCATGGGCCGGTGGCTGAGAAACAGAAGTCTCTAAATTTTCTTTTAAGAAAAAAAAAAGTTTCCATATAGTTTAACCTTTTGTTTAAGCATGTTGTATAAATTTAAAAATGCATCTAAGACATTGCCTCATCATGAAAAGCTGCTGATGGGACAGATTGAGGAAGTGGGAACAGCATTCATCAGTCTCAGCGTCTGGGGCTTGGAATTAGCCATCACAGACACGGGTACAAGTCCTTGGCATTCAGCACAAAATACCTGTTCTCTTTCTGTATGTTGGGTGTTGATCCCAGTGTTCTACAGGCCTTTTTTGAAGAGAAAAATCAGTGGTTAAGGCCATTTGTCAGAGGGCTGGCTATTTTCAGTGTTATTGTTATGACAAGTCTGGCTTCCAAAAGGATTATTAAGAAAAAAGGCCACCTCTTTGAAATCTACATCAAGTTGTTAAGGCAACGAACCCATGATTAAATCTGGAAATGTTTGCTCTGCCACCCCCTTCCTCTACCCTATTATCTATTTCACATGTTCTTGTGCTTGATACCAGCTAACAGATCATTGCTACATCTCTGCCACCTCATCCCAGGAATCAAAGACAAGTGTGGATTTGAAAAATGGCATTGCCGTGTGCATTTGTGTGTCGATTACATTGGTACATCTGTGGGCTTGTGTGTAACTCTGGAAATAGTTCGTCACATTTTCCCCTAAATTCTGTTTGTCACATTTAACCAAAGAGGCAGCCATCCCTTATCCAGATAAAGAAAGGACAACCAGGAAACTTCAGTGGCACTTGGTGGATTTCTGCAAAGATTGGAAGATAGACAGTCTAAAAGAAAGACAGCACTTCCCACGGCCTAGAGGTGGGGAATTACAGGGAGTGTGTAGTGTTAGCTGGGGCATACATAGAGTATGGGTAGGAGAAGAGAGGGAAATAAAGCTTGAGAAATAGGGAGGACATTTGGACATCTGCAAGGGCCATGTTTGTGAACAGGGGAATGAGCGACATGCAAAGTGAAGCCTTACTGGGAATGACAAGTTTGAGAAGGGACGGGGACGGGCTTGGGGCAGCAACAGCCAGTGATCAATCATATCAGCAGTTGAGGGAAAAAAACGTAATGAGAGAGCTAGGATTCTGTCTGTGAAGATGGTAATGAGAGAGCCGAAGGGGGAACATCACCAGTGGTGGGAGGATTTGCAGAGGCCTGGCAACCGGCAATAAAACTAGAGGTGGTGGAAGGGGAGTTGGGGAGGAAGGGAGCCTAGGAAGGAAGTGGGGGGGGCAGAGCAAGTCTAGAGGGAAGAGCTATTTGGGGTAGCAGATAATGTGTTCTGACTCGAGGAATGTCCAGCAGGTGATGAGAAATTCATATGTAGGGCACTTGAAAGGCACGAGGGCCAGAGATTCCATCTACATGATTCCCCAGTGAGAAAGATGAGCTAGGAAAAAACAGCAGGGAACTGAGGATGAAACTGAGCCAGAACGCTACCTTCTAACCAATGTATTTGTGAATCTAGCCATGGCAGACCCTAACCCAGGGAGCCTGTGAGGATGAAGACAGCTCATCCAAGACTCTGTGTGGCCCCTTGAAGGCTAATGAGCTCTGCTGAATCCCAGTAGTCAATGGGTGTCCCCCTCCCTGGACATCTGAGCTAAGAGGTATTGGGGAAAAGCCTCCAATTTCACACACTTTGTGACCCAGTTTCTATCTGGCTGACCGAAGCTCTTCTCACTCTGGACGACGGGTCTGAAAGCCGCTTAGTAGAATGGTGGAGAGTTACACGAACCTACTTTCACATTAATTGAATTCCCTTCCGTTGGGCTTCTGCAAACGAACTTGTGTTTTAAGTGCTACATTTTACTTCACTAGTAGGAACTCAGCTGGGTGAAGGAACACTGCTGACTTGAAGGGATTTTCTACAGTGGACCTAGAAGTGTGGGTTTGGTCTTGCAGGAGGTGATGGGAGGAAAGGACCCAAGGAGGCTGTGTGTGCAGGTAATGCTTCCACCAGAACCCTCTGCCTTACCTGCACCACGGGCTTCCAAATCTGGGTGAATCACCTTTGGGTGGCTCTGTGGTTGTACAGATGACGGTCCAACTAGACCAACCAGACGAACTCTTCAGGAAGTGGAGCTCAGGAATCTGATTTTCAACAATCTCACCAGCTATCTGGCGCAGCTCACTCATGACCCTTTCTTCAGGAATCCACTGCCTTGGGGCATTCCATCCTTGCTCTGTAAGAAATACCAAGTGATTTTCAACAGTTGCAGGAATTTTCCTGGCAAGGCCTATAAGAATGGGGGTGAGGGCTTGCTGATCGGGGAAAAAAAAAATGTTCTAAAATTGTCATTTGTTTTCACTGTGATATTTATTTGTAATATCACATCGCATAAAAACTTCACATAAAATGGGTGTCTTTAGCAGAAAAATTTTGGATCAAAAATGACTGAGAAACTTCACAGCCTGGGATGATGCTACACTTTAGTTCTGCAAAATTGGTCTTATCAGTTTTACCAGAGTGCCACCTCTTTGAAACTAAGTCCTTTAGTGTTTAAGCTCTAGACAAGTGCAAACTCTGGTACCATGAGCTCCCCTTGGGGAGACACGGTGGTCCCTGCATTAATTAAGGAGAGCACACAGCATCCAGGTCAGAACATTAGATTCCCCAATGCTGCCTGCCAGAGAAGGGGGCTTCCTTTTCCTTCACGCCCTCTCCAAAACCTGGGGAGCCAAGGTGTACATTTCCCAGGGAATAATAGGAAAACATCTATATCACAGAGAGACTAGCTCAGGAAGCAATTCTCTTCTCTAACCTCTAGCAAAAAAACCAAACATCAAAACCCACAAAGCTGAGAGCCAACATCAGGCACACACCTAAACAGATTTCTTTTCTAGCCCACAGCCCTCTTCTTTTAAAAACCTTGGGAGACACAGAGTGAATAATTTGGGCAGCAAGTGGGAAGATCAAGTCTAAGCTCTCCAACCCCTCTGAACCTGTCTTCTCATTTCTAAAGGGGAACTAGTGATCCCACCCATAGAAATGTATAATAATGGGCAAGATGGGCATAGCTCCTCAGCTACCTTCTACCCAGGGAGGGAGACAGCAAAAGCAGAAACAGGATGAATACATAAAATTATTGCAAGTTTTGAATTTTTTTAAAAGATTTATTTATTTATTTGAGAGAGAGAGAGAGAAAGCGAGCATGGGGGAAGGGGAGGGGCAGAGGAAGAGAAAGAGAATCTCGAGCAGACTCTCTGCTGAGCATGGAGCCCCATTCAGGGCTTGATCCCATGACCCTGAGATCATGACCCAAGCTGAAACCAAGAGTCGGACATTCAACCAACTGAGCCACCCAGGTACCCCATAAAATGAATGCAAGCTTTAGAAGGGCTGTGCAAGAAACTGAAGGGCTGATGTAGAGTTATCACGAAGAGGGCCACCCACAAAGAGGGTTTGAATTCTAATTGCTCTGCTGATTTTCCTCAGGGAAATATTTGAACTTCACTGTCTATTTCCTCACCTACAAAAAGGGACAGTAATCCACAATGGAACATCCTTCAGCCTTAAAAAAGAAGGAAATTCTTTTGCATGCTGCAACATGATGAACCTTGACAATGTTATGCCAAGGGAAATGAGCTAGTCACAAAAAGCATGTATGCATGTATGATTCTACTTGTAGGAGGTCCCTAGAGCCATCAATTTCACAGAGATAGGAAGTAAAAGGATGGTTTCCAGGGGCTGGAGGGAGGAGAGAATGGGGAGTTGTTTAATGGGTACAGAGAGTCAGTTTTGCAATATGGAAAGGGTTCTGGAGATGGATGGAGGTAAGAGTCGCACAATGATGTAAATACAATTAATATAACTGAACTGTACACTTAAAAATGGTAAAGATGGAAAATTTTATATGTTTTTATCACAATTTTTTAAATGAATGAAGAAAAAGGGATAGTAATACCTACCTCATGGGGTTGGTAGGAGAAAATAAAATCGCATAAAACATTTAACACAGTGCAGATCCTTCTTTCCCCCCTACACACACACACACACACACACACACACACACACACACACACTCCTTCTGCTCAGCTGTTTTCTCAGACTCCCCTGCCAAATTTCCTTATAGCATAGACACCAACAGTAAGAACAAGCCATGCTCAATGGCTTCTGTCCTCAGGAGTCTCCTCAGGCTGCATTCTGGAAGATTCTTCCATCTTCTGTCTTTCCTTACATGAATTCTCATTCCAAGGCATTTCAAGACACTCTGAGAATAATGGTTCTTAACTTGGGAATATCTGCTCTTCAGTTTCTGAAAACAATTTATTCCTCTAGTCAGACCCAGAGTTTTGAAAGACCAAACTGACAAGACATTTATGAATGCAACACATAGTTAGAGGGCCTCTATTATGCATGAGGCTCTCTGCAGCTGGAAACATAAGATCCCTTGCTTTTTCCTACTCTAAACAAGCAGTGGGTTCCTAAATTGTTCAAGAAGTATGGAAAAGTACATTGTCTCACATCCCAATCAGTTGTTGAATGCCCTTTGGAACTACTCTGATTCCTTCACAACCCCATCCTACCCTTCTCTTCCTGCATGAATGTACCTTGGGATCTGACAGGATGTGGCCTTTCATGTAGTGATTTGATTGCATTTCTTTCTCTTGTCTCATTTTCCAAACTTCTGAAATCTAAGACAATAATTAACACACTTCTATAATAACAAAGTATTTTTAAATGACTGTGCTTGTATATGCTTTTAAATGAGTTCATATACTTAGGAAGAAATCAATAGATAAGTTTCTTAGTATGAGGCAGATAATAGTGGGTGGGTTTTTTTTGAAGCTGTGACTAGATCTATTACTTGCAGAATCCTAAAATTTAGACATGGTGGGGACTATTGACTCTGAGCTGTATATAATGACACATAATAATGTCTACTATTTCTATAATAAGTACTTTAAACTTAATAAAGTGTTTTTGGATACATTAACACATTTGATTCTTAAGACAAATTAGAGAAGAAAAACAGGCTCAGAGAGTGTTCCAAGCCACCCACCTAGTATGGATCAGAGGTCCCTCTCTGAAATAGCCACCTTCAAGTCTTTTCTACTGTTTTCATTTCATCACTGGGAGAGAGAATGGATCAGATGACAGCTAAAGACTCAGGATAACGTACGGTGGGTTGCCTGGACTGGGCATAGAATTAGAGTTGAACTAGCAAAGAGAAACCAAGCTTCCCCAAGGCATGGAAAGAATTGCTGGGCCATGAACAGGAGGAATTCAGGGAACAGGACATGCGAACCTCTCGGAGCTCAGGATGGCAGCAAAGACTTGGTGCGACCAACAACCAGATAATGTGTAACCACTAAAAGCTTAGTCCTGACAGAAAGGCTGTTTCCCCAGGTCCAGTGTCAGAAGAAACATCCCAAAGTCCTCAGGGAAAGCATTGCCTTATTTCATTAGATTTCAGTTTTATCTTCCTGAGCACATTCTAAAATATCAAAGAAATCGGAGACGCTACACAACAATAGAGAGCAATACAAAGGTTACAGAAAGAATGAGAAACCCCAACTTGTTCTAACTCCAGACGTAAAATTTAATTATACTCCCTCAGCATCCACAGAAGTGTGCTGAGTAGCATCCTGTTCTTCGGGGCAGCTGTTGGTGCCTCATGGGGTCACTCTTGAGAGGCAGAGTATTTGCTCTCATTGTACTATTTCCTCACTCCTAGGATCTGTGTTGCACTGAACACAAGAGTATATACTGCCATTAAAACCCTTGCAGGCCCTGTCCCTGGCCACGAGAAAACACCATCATTGCTACTTCCCAGTGTTGGGAGGAAGAGGAGAAAGGACTCCCTTCTCTCTCTCCCCACTCCATGTCACACTGATGAGCTCATAAGGGTATGATTCTCGAGTCACATGTTTCTTTGATGACACAAATGCACACACTTCCCCCAAGACCACCACCCCCCACCACGTTCCCCAACCTCCATGTCCCCAGATACTCAGGAGCTGAGTATTTCTCCTAATACTTAGTACTAATCACTTCTTGCCTCAGGATAAGTATTCCTCTTTGAGAAAACTCTATATTATAACAGGTTTCATCCTGCTTTCAATGGTAGATGGGCCTTTTACATCAGAGAGAAATATCACAACTAAAAAGGCGGAATGTGGTTTGAGGACAGACTATTAAGAATGAGTTGACTAGATTAAAGAAAAAGGATGCCCTAAGCATAAAAAAGACCTGACTTGTCTTCCCAGAACAATTCATGAGAACCACAAGGTACATGGCTAGTCCTTGGAATGATGGAGTGGAAGGTTAAACAAAACCCTCAGGTATCCCCGTAAGGTGCACACTGCAGAAAAGGCATCTAAAGATGTGATTTAGTTTTCTTCCTTTTTTTTTTTTTTTAAGTTCCAAGACTCACAGCTTCTGCAAGTGAGTTTGAGCATATTAATGTAAATCTCCCTTTCATGTTCCAAGAGAAGTCTGTCCTGTGGAACTCTAGGAGAGAGGAGTTAGCACCTTGTTTGGGCTCCCCAGAAACAGAACCTGAGATGAGGATTCATGAGCAAACAACTTTCTGAGGAAAGGGGAAAGGGGAAAACCAGTAGCAGAGTGGACGAACAGGACAGCAAAGGAAAGAGGCCAAGCCAGAAGGCAGATGGAAGCAGAATCCTGCAGAAGGAGCCTTAGCCTGAGTCAGCAGGGAGCTTAGGAGTGCAAGGTGCATAAGGTGCGTTCTGCAAGACAAGGGGCTGGAGCTTTCATACTTCTGTAGCCATCATCCAGTGGATAAGTGGCACCAATTCCCGTGGCACCTCCTGCTTCCAGATTGTGCAGGCCAGGAGTGCTTCAGTGCCCTGAGGCTGTGGAAAAGGAAAGCACTCCAAAACCAATGGGCACACGACAATGGCATAAAGAAAAGATCAGGTGATCTGAGCAAAGCATTTACATTGTTGGCTATAAGGAGCAACAACTGCAATTAGAGAGACTCAAATTCCTCATATACAGAATGAGGTCATTTAACTACCCTGCACACCTGGTGTCTTTTTATAAAATGCGGAATGTAATCACACCTGCCTCAGTGGGTTGTAAGGATTGGACAATTCAGGAGGAGTGCATATTAAACACTGAGAAATACCAGCTGTTACAATTATTTATAAGCAATTATAACAGCAATTTCACCTGGGCCTGTGGCTCTGGTTATTTTGCCAAAAGAAATGTGGTGACCTTCCATGTACCCAAATATCTCAGAGTTCTCTTGTCTCTCAGTAATTTGGAGAATGCATTTGGAGTTACCTAGAAAGTACAGGTCCCTGCAAGGCAAGAAGAACTTGGGCAACATCTATGAGGAATTTTAAAAGCACCTTCAAAAGCACGAACACACATGTTTGAACCGGACACAAAACATTTTTTTTAGATAAAATTCAACCTCGGGTTTGTACGGTGGTTTCTGCCCTGTTCATTTCTTAAACAGAATTATGAGGAGAGCTTTTAATGCAATTGGTTATGAACATCAACTTACTATTAGGTTAGCCCCCAATGAACTAAGTTAGGAGCCATGAGGGAGCTGTTTTTATGACATCCGAGTAGCACAAAACGTGATTTTTCTCTGGAGAAGACTTTTGAGAATTAGAAGAAATTAGTCATATTTTCCAATGTGGGGATTTTAACAGTTGTGAAATTATGACGGAGCCCTGACTCAACAATTCCGATATTGCAATATGTCACCTAGCTGTCTTGTTACTGAAAATTACATGATTTAGAAGACAGTAGCTTTAAAAAGAACTCAGCTGAGGTTGGAAAGAAAAGGGAGATATGCAGACAAAGCAAGGGAAAAGTAGAAAATTGCTGAACATATATAGAGCTAAGTTTAACAATTCTGGGCTCATTTAATACATTTCTGTCTTAAATAGCACACTGAAAAGGCATGTTTATCCTCTCAGTGAGTTATATGTTAGAAATGCGCTCATTAAACTGTTTTTTTTAAATACAATACTGAATCTAAACTGTATTTAAGATGTTGCTAAATATTCAAATGAGTCACCCCTTTAGACTCCCTTTTGGAGGGTTAAAAAGATAAATAGACTTTCACTGGACAAAGAGGAGTAAGCCAATTCAAGACAATCCTTGTGCTATATTTTTCTAGCCTCTTCATTAGGTTACTCCTCATTAACTACCTTAAATGAGCTACGAATAATGATCAGGTCTGTCCTTTCTATATGAAAATTAGGCTATTAGTAAGCTTGTGACTCTCGAGGTGTTTTCCAGGAGTGGTGAAGGGTTTGAACTTTCTCAAGCACACTCTCTAGGTTTCTTTCCCTTGTTTTCAATAGCATACATTTGCAAGATGGTTTACCAGGGTTAGGATGCTGAAAGACTCAGAAAGAGACGGTTCTAATGAGCTTGGTCTCATTAACATAGTGTGATAATTAGGTAACCTAGCTGAACAAATGCAACATTGGGCAAGTTTGAAGAGATATAAACAGCTCCAGGAATCGTAACTATAAAGCTAGAAGTGGTAGTATCCCTTAAAGAACTAAACAAATCACTGAAGAAGTTAAGCACTACTACTTATGGTCAGATACTATAAAGAAAAGAGGGTAAGTCTTATGGTTAAGAAATGATTGTCACCTACAACTAATTGAATTCCAAAATACACACATGTCCTCTTTATGATTTTGCTCCTATCATGATAATACAAATTGAACACATTGAGAGATCCCAGGCTTATTCCAGACAATTAGGAAAGAGTATCTAATTTAACCCAAAGAAGTTTGCTCCAATATGTTGACTTCAGAAGCTACTCTTTATACACTTTCAACAAAGAGTTCTTTGTCTCTTTTCTCAAAGAGTTTAACAAAACAATTCTCCCCAAATTGATCTATAAATCAAATGCAATTCCAATCAAAATTCCAGTAGGATTTTGTACGACCTTGATAAACTTATTTAAAAAGGTGTCTAGAAGAACAAAGCAAGGAAAATTGCCCAACCAGAAATTAAGATACCTCAAAGATGAAGTAATTAAAAAGAAAAAAAGCCAGGGGGTGGGGTGGTATTGGCATCAGAAAAGACAAAGACATCAATGGAATGGAATAGGAAGCCCAGAAACAAATCCAAGTAAATGTAGGAATTTATTCTATGGTAGAGATATATGGGAAGCATTATAAATCTGTGGGGAAAGGATGGAATTTTTAGGTAACTGATATTAGGAAAACTGGCTCACTACGAATAAACATGTCTACCTGATAACATATAAAAATATAAATCTATATTGATTAAAAACCTAGATATAAAAATTAAAACTGTAAAGCAAATATAAAAAGTATTTTTTTAATATTGTGACATTAAGATGTGTGGAATAAGTTTTTACACTCCAAAAACATAAGGTGAAAAGATGTTGACTACAACAAAAATTATGATTTCTATTCAATAGAATACCACAAAGTTAATATGTAGCTGAATGAAGAGATATGTAGCATCTAAAATGTACTGGGGTTAATATCAATAGGATAGAAGGAACTCCTACAAATTAATAAGAACAATATAGGAAACCATTTTAAAATGCACAATGGATATGAATAGATAATTCACAAAAGGAAGAAACCCAACTAACTAATAAATATGTGAAGAAATATTCAACTTCGTTCACCAATAATCCGAGATCTTTATATTAAGATAACTTTATACTCATTCTGTTGGCAAAATATGAATGTTGGTAAATACCGAGTGTTGGTGACAATGTCGGCGTATGGGAAACTCATGCATGTGGGAGAATATTGGTTATGGTATATTAGGTTATTGTCTAAGTGCATTCACTACCTCTCCATCATTTCCATAGAAGGGATATATTTCTCCTCCTCATTGGACTTGGCCATGTGACTCAACATGGCTTTACAGCAGGCTTCCCTAAGCCCTTCTCTACTCCTGGGCTTTAAGCTTTGTCATATGACTTGTTTTGGCCAACAGTATGCTAACAAAAAT